ATCCTTTACGACAGCTAGATATCCTTGGGCACCCTTTTCAAGAAGCTGATAAGCCTCCAAAGCAGAAACGAAATTTGCTGGAAGATTGGTTCCATTTCCATTAAATTCAAAGCTGGGCTAGTTAGGAGAATTAAACTTAATCACCTTCTTGTAACAGTCCACATTGGCTTGCTGCTTACATAGCCAATCCATTCCTATGATGACGCCGAAATCATACATTGCTAAAACTACCAGATCTATCATCTGACTCCGCTCTCCTATGGAAATATTACGGTTAAAACATGCCAGAATAGACAAAACTTCATCCTTCAAAGGTGTGGTAATGCTAAGGGGTACCTCAAGCAATTTAGGTTTCAATCCATAAAGTTGAACAAATCGTGCAGACACGAAAGAATGCGTTGCACCAGTATCGAACAAGCCATAAGCCTTTTTATCACATATGAAGAGCGTACTTGATATTACGGTCTTGGAAGCCTATGCTTCCTCTTGTGTGATAGCGTAAACCTTCCCTTGTGCTGGCGGTCTTTGCATGTTCCTTTGTCGTGGTGTTTCGCCCGAAGCCGGTTGTTGCAGTTGTCGTGTCAGTATGTCACGAGTCTATTGCCCTACTTGAGGACAGTCCCTACGAATATGACCCTTCTAGCCACACTCAAAACATACCTTTGATGCCATACATGGTAAATTCCCATGTGCTTTTCCACATTGCCGACACAGTTCATTCAAAAGTTGTCCGTGATACAACGACGAATTATTTCCAACTCCTCCGAAATTCACAAAGTTTCGTCTTTTATTCAGAGTTAACTAAAGTCTCTTAGATTGAAATGGTCTTTTGTCTCGTCTAACATTAGTACCTTGCAGATTCAACTTTGCCTGTTGTCTCATTTCTGCTTCTTCCTTCAGTAATTCCTGCTCCACCAATTGAGCACGTTCATACAGTTCATCATAATTCTTTAGATTAAAAGGCACTAATTGTTTCCTAATATCTGTCCTCAGACCATTCAGGAACTTTCTAGCTTTATCTTCTGGATTTTCAACCAACCGAGGATTATACCTTAATAGTTCTGAAAATTTAGCCTCATATTGATCCATTGTTAAATTGCTCTGGATCAACTACATAAACTCCATCATCTTCTTTTCTTTGGCACTTCAGAGATATACTTTCTAGTAAAGGCGTCTACAAAACCCCTTGTCACGCCCCGAACCCTACGGCACGCGGCATCCCTTCTGCGGTCGTATCGAACGTGACGTCTCAGGACTCGTTGCTGACCCAAACTCCAAATCAGAGAATATACACACGCAGAAACGATCAAACACCCATACACAAATAAACATGACCAAGATAGCAACGGGAGACACATAGAAACAAACTTCATAAGCACATACTTGTATTAATCAAAGAGAATTTACAGCATCCGTTGTAGCATAAGTATACACAGACCAAAATGGGTTAGCAAGCCACTATCATCAAAAAGGGGTTGTGGCTCGGTGCGGTTAGGTACTATATCCAAAAAGGGCTCCCTTCAAAAAGTATCGGCCCTAAACGCTAGCTATGCTCTAGACTAACCCCTATGTGGTATCCAATCCGAGTCGGATCCAGAAGACTCGGATGAATCATCGGATGACTCGAACTCGGAATCTATAGGCTCAGGGTCGGACTCGACCTCCAACGGCTCCTCCTCGGGAACATCCTAGGCTCCGGCACCTCTTCTGGGTCCTCTTCAGGCTCTGACTCCAACTCCATCGGCTTCGGCTCGGAATCAGACTCCCACTCCATCTGTTCCTCCTCCTAGTGCTCATGCTCGGAATCCATGTCGGACTCTATGATGACGGGTCGGGGCTCAGAATCCGCCTCGGACACAGAATCGGGGCTCACTAACTCCCCATCAGCTGCCTGTGGGTCCCACTGACCCAACCCGTCAATCGGAACGTCAAAAGACCTAAGGGGTCCATAAAAGCCAGTCTGGTCCCGAAAGCACCAACCAAGGTAAGGATGGGCCTTGAGCTGTGACCCGCCCTCGTCGACCCATACGATAGTGTAAAATCTAATATAAGCCTCCCCATTCCAACCGGGGTACTCGATCATCGAACGCTTTATATGGTCCGGGATCCCAAAACGTAGCGGCACGCTGGTCATCCTCAGGGTTAGGGGTCTGAAATGGTTATATAATAACCGTGAGAACGAGTCTCAATAAGCAACACCCTAAACCCCACGTAGGCCAATGCGTACCCAGACAAGTCGTACATGCAATCTAACCCATAACATATAGAATTCACATCATTGTACTTACCTCGCCATCAAACACATGCCGACTCTGCACATTAGTCGAAACGTGATAATACAACAATGATAATCCAGTAACATATTACAATCTCTCGAACACCAACCACACTTGCACTCAATCAATCCGACCAATTCAATCACACATTTAACCAGTCAATTCAATCACACTCAATTCGCATGTGTGGCCGAACATCTTTCTCACGACCCGCGCCACTGCGCCTCAGGTCTATTCTCACTGCCCGCGCCACTGCGCCTCAGGCCCAATCTCACAGCCCGCGCTACTGCGCCTCAGGCTCAGCCCTCCGATCAATCCGGGCTCTGTCCCGCATAACCACGCCTTAGGACATTTTTCTTCCCTTCCAATGACTCGCGTAACCACGCCTTAGGTCTGGTCATGCCTTTCTCGCTATACCCGCGTAACCACGCCTCAGGTTGGCAGCCCTCCGATCAATCCGGGCTTTTCTCATGCACATGCACCACAACACAATTCCCCATTCTCGCAAGTCGTACCAATCAAACTCAAGGCATGCTCACCACATCACAACTCGCCATTCAACACGTCGTACGAATCCAAATCATGTCACAAGCCCATCACACTAGCCCACAAATACGGCACTCAAGTCGGCCCAATCAAATGTCAATTTCACCCACACACGCCACGACAATATAGTCATTTAACTCACCATAATTAGCCACAATTTAATCTACCACCTACCACATAATCCATATACTAATCACATTCTAACCAACTAGTCCGTTCCCTAACTTAGTCACTAAACAAATTCTAATTGACCCCTAAACAAGTCTAAAAATACCCATTGTACTAAATAGAGATTAGGAAGTCACTTACTAGGTTTTAGCCCGGGAAAAATCCACACGGGCTCAAAATGGCTCGGGTGAACAGTGCTGGGATCGGCATGGGCGAGGGCGCGATGCTCAGCCACAGCTCGGCACACGGCCCGGCGACTCGGCGTGGCGCTCGGCCACAACGGGGCACACGGCCCGGCGACTCGGCCACGGGCAAGGGTACGCTCGACACGGCCGGGGGCGACTCGGCCACGGCCCGAGCACGGCCTGGGCAGCTCGGCCACGGCCTGGGCATGGCCTGGGTTGGCCGGTGAGCTAGCTGGTCGGCTGGCTGGTTGGTTGGCGTCTTTGGTTAATGTTGGCCGCCGGGGCGGCCGGCTGGGCCGGGACGATGAGTGGCGGCGGCGACAAGCAGCGACGACTGGAGGACGGCGTACGGCGGCGAGCTGGTCCCGGCGGCTGGGCGGACGGCGACGCGACGGGGATGATGTGCGAGCGATGCGAAGTGGCCAGCGGGACGACGGTGGAGCCTGGGTAAAGGCTGAGCGGCGCGTCGAGCGATCTGGCCCGGCGACGACGGCGACGGCTACAAGCTCGGCGGGGTGCGCGGGTGAGCTGGGAGGCGGCAGGCTGCGGCGATGGTCGGGCGCGGTGAGCATGCAAGCTGAGCCGCGAGACTCGCGACGGCGAGCTGTTGGGCGCGCAGGGCGACGGGCGGCGGCGACGTGCGGGGGTTGGGCGGCGAGCTGGGTTGGCGAGGGGTGGTCGAGCGGAGGCGACGATGCACGGCGGCGACGGGCTGCCGCACGCGCGCAAAGGAGAGGGAGAAAGGCAGTCGGCCCAGGGGGCACGGCGGCGGACAGACGGCGCGGTGCGGCGGTCGACGAGGCTGCGTGGCAGCGGGCGAGTGGCAGCGCTAGGTGAGCGGCAGGCGATGGCGAGCTACGGGCGACGGTCGGGCAGAGGAAGAAGCAGAGGTCGGGGGCAGAAGAGACAAAGAAGAAGAGAAAGAGAAGAGGAAGAAAAGAAAAAAGAAAAGAAAAGAAAGGAAGAGAGAGAGGGAGGAGACGTGAGCGGGAGAGAAGGGAAGGGACATCTGCATTCATAGGCAGACGTGCGCAGACGCGGCAGAGGGAGGAGACAGAGAGAGAACAAAAGTTATAATTTGTCCTCGAGTGAGATCCAACACTACAAAAAAACATGTTTTTTGCGACGCATTTTGCGACGAAAAAATTGCAAAAATTCGTCGCAAATCGATTTTGCGACGCAAAATATTCCGTCGCTACTAGGTCGTCGCAAATTTTTGCGAAGGAAAATTTCAATTTCCGTCGCAAATTTGTGACGGAAAAAAAATTCGTCACAAATAATTCGTCGCAAAATTCATCGCAAATTAGCCACGAACACTATTCGCCGCAAATTAGCCACGAACACTATCCGTCGCAAAATTCGTCGCAAATTTCATCGCTAAATTCGTTGCAAAATTCGTGGCAAAATTCGTCGCAAAATCTATTGCAAAATTAGCCACGAACTTTATTCGTTGCAAAATTCGTCGCAAATTTCGATGCAAAATTCATCGCAAAAGTCGTTGCTAATTATTCGTCGCAAAATTTGTCGCCAAATTCGTGGCAAATTATTCGTTGCAAATTATTCGTCACTAATTATTCGTCACAAATTATTCGTTACAAAATTCGTCGCAAAATTCGTCGCTAATTATTTATCGCTAATTATTCGTGACAAAATTCATCGTTAATTTGCCAAATTTTTTTTTGGTCAATAATAGCAACGAATTTTTATTAATTATTTAGCGACGAATTTTATTAATTCTTTAGCGACGAATATTGTTTAGGGACGACTTCGATTTTAAATCTAATTAATAGCAAAATTAATTCCTACAATTTATATTTATCATTGATTAAGCACTTAATAACATCAAAATATTATAATAATATGAAAATGAAATACATTCATCTGCATTTTCCACAAGAATGACATATATATTTTTATTTATAGTACACATAATTAGAGAATAAATAATCTTGAGCACTTTAAAGCACTTGCTTAAGCAACCTCAGGGTGGCAATTCTTTCCAGGGCGAGGAACATATTGGGCCAACTGCACTTCTGGCACTGAAGATGCTGAAGCAAAGCTTATCCCCGATTTGTATGAAAAGATACTTCCAATCTTGCGCCCACTCTGCTTTCTCCTATAAGGTTTGCATGAAGTGCTTCATCACCTCCTCCAAAGAAGTGACATTCACTTGTTGACATACAATGCGATACTCAAAGTCCCACAAGCCCAGAGAAGAAAGTGAAATACCTACAATTGCCAAAATTTCGCATCCAAAATTAAAAGGATTGCACTTAGAACATTTATATATCTTTAGGCCATGAAAGCAATTGCTAGAAATTTCTGGTGACACATTTTCAGTCTAATTGATCCTCTGAAAGAGCAAATTAAGAAGCCTAGATTAACGGACCTACCAATCAATATGCACACCGCACAAGGTTAGATTGGCTCTCATTGTACAATGATGTGTAATAATCCTCTTCTCTAATGTCCAGTGTATCCCGCCTCAAAGTAACCAGCAGGGAAAGTGAAGAGAGCAGGAAGATGTGGATTTAAGTTAAAACTCTTCGACATGCCGAATTGTAATTGTACACATATGCAAGAGAACTCACAATTCTAGGTGGAAGTGCAAGATCAGCAGCTCTTCCCTTTTTTGTGCGTCTCAGCAAAATGTTTTTCAAAATTGTGTTTTAGTAATATCATTGCTCGCCTTCTGCCAACAGCATTTCCATGTGCTTGTATAGGATTCGCTATATACTAGATAGAATATATACTCCATATCAGAGTTCAAATGAAAACATTCCATATGATTTGCCCAAAAAAAAAAGAGAGAGAGGCCAAAGGACCAATGAAAATGCAACTCACTCGATTCCACCAACAAAAGTGCCGTACAGAACTGTGAGAGCATTCAGGACATTGTTTTGAGGAACTGCAAATGAACAACAGACTTACAAAATAGGTAACAAAGGAAAAATACATTCACTGAACTCAGTGCATGCAATCAGCAGGTGAAGCTCTAAGACCAATCGATAAAGTTAATGCAGAAAACAAAGAGTGAGATTGCATTAACTAAGATAATGAAAGTGAAGTCAACCCAGACAACAATTCGTAGAAAACGGACCCGAAAAGTTTATTGCAGGACAATGTGATTGACTACAGAAGGTGAATAACAATTAACCACTCGTATAAAATAGAAACTTACAAGAGAGTAGAGCTCCCCAACACGATTTTGAAGAGGTGTTCCACTTAAAGCCCATCTGTATGAAGACTCCAGTCCGAGAACTGCTTTTGCAGTATTACATCGCCTATCTTTGACAAAGTGAGCCTACATTGACAAATTTGCTACAGATTTTATTTGCGACGGATTTTGTTTTCGTCGCAAATTTTTGTGACGGATTTTGTTTCCATCGCAAATTTTGTTTCCATCGCAAATTTGCGACGGATTTTTTTTTCCGTCGCAAATTTGTAACGGATATTTTTTTCCGTCGCAAATTTGAGATGGATTTTGTTTCCGTCGTAAATTTTTGAGATGGATTTTTTTTCCGTAGCAAATTTGCGATGGATTTTTTTTCCCGTCGCTTTCCGTCGCAAATCTGCGATGGAATTTTTTTTCCATCTCAAATTTGCGACGGACTTTGTTTCCGTCGCAAATTTGCGACGGATATGCGACGGATTTTTTTTTCCATCGCAAATTTTTGCGACGGATTTTTTTTCCCATCGTAAACTTGTGACGGATTTTTTTTCCGTCGCAAATCTGCGACGGATTTTTTTACCCGTCGCAAATTTTTGCGACGGATTTTTTTTCCCGTCGCAAATTTGCGATGGATGTTTTTTTCCGTCACAAAGATTTGCGACGGATTTTTTTTTCCGTCGCAAATTAGCGACAGATTTAGCGACGACCTTTTAAAAAAGAATTAAAAAATTCAATAAAAAAAGAAAATAAAAAAAGAGAAATAAAAATTAAGAAATTTGATTTTTAAAAAATAAAAATATTTAAAAATTCTTTTATTTTTTTGATCTAAAATAAAGTCATGAGATTGAAATCATTTTCCAATGAAATCCAAATATCAGAAAATGATTTCCATCGTATATCACCAAATAAATGAAAACTAAGCGTATTCATAGAAAATGATTTTCCGGAAAACACTTTCCTTTATCATTAAGTTTTCCGCAAAACAAACGTATTCTTAGAGTGATTACCAACTTCTCCTCTATCAAGTTTACCATATTGCATTATCAACTCCTAATTGAGTTACTTACCAATGTTTATTTTCAATTTTTTTGTACACCAACTTCTCTAATCTCTAACCAAACAAAGCTTCTGTCATTGTTTACGAACTTTTATTTACATTTCTTACCAATAATTTAAATTTACCGAGTATTATATGAAACTATCAGCCTAGCTTTCTTTGCGTGATTTGGGTAAATTTTCTCCAATCAAATCAATTAGTTTTGGATTACCAAATCTCAATTGAGTTATTAGCTTTTATTTGTTATTTTCTCAAATTTACTAGCTTTTTATTAAGTTGCTACTTTTATTTGCATTGGTTTCCAACTTATTAAATTTATTGGCTCTTTTAGAAATTACTAACTTTTATTAGAGTGATTACCAACTTTTTTCGATCAAGTTACTAACTAGTTTTATGTTACCTTCTTTTATTTGAGTTACTTACCAATGTTTATTTGGTTTTCTATTTTGAAATGATCGACTTTTCTTATCTCTAACAAAAATACGTTTCTAATTTTCTACAAGCTTTGAATTTACCTTCTATTACATGAAATTATCAACTTTTTGGTGTGCCTCATTAACTTTTGCCCAATTAAGTTACCAATTAGTTTTGGATTGTAAACTCTAGTTTGAGTTGCTTACCCATTTGGTTTTTTAACTTACCAATTTTTATATTGAGTCATGCTTCTTTTTGCATAACTTACTAATCCAATTTTACGATTTAATACCAATTAATTTTCTATTACTAACTATTATTTTATTTAATTACTAAAATTTATTTAATTTTTTCGTCGCTAAATTTGTCGCTAATTAGCGACAAATTTTTTTTCCGTGGCTAAATCTAAATCCATGGCTAATTTTCCGTGGCTAAATCCTTTTTTTGACTGTTTTTCGTCGCAAATTAGCGACAAATTTTTTTCCGTCGCTAATTTGCGACGGATTTATTTTCCGTCGCAAATATGCGACGGATTTTGCGACGAATTTATTTTCCATCGCAAATTTGCGACGAATTTATTTTCCGTCGCTAGTTTGCGACGAATTTATTTTCCGTTGCAAATTTGCGATGGATTTTGCGACGAATTTATTTTCCGTTGCAAATTTGCGACGGATTTTGCGACGGATTTATTTTCCGTCGCTAATTTGCGACGAATTTTTATTTCGTGGCAAATTCCGTCGCAAATTTGCGACGAATAATTTTTGTCGCTAATTTGCGACGGAAAAAAAAATCCGTTGCAAATTTCGTCACAAATTAGCGACGAAAAATTCCCCGTCGCAAATTTTCGTGGCAAAATCCATGTTTTTTTGTAGTGCAACGGTCACGGTTCAAATCCAAAAACAATCTAACGGTCCACAAAAATCCTAATTAAATATTAGGAAAAAGGGCCAGAAGATATTAAATAAAACACACTACGAGGGACATCTACTAGTCCAAATCCGCACCTCGTCAAAATTTCACTTTTCGCATAACCCATGCAATATCGAGGCTGGCCACAATAATATCGACAACATCCAATTAAATTCGTCCTGGAACTCCGAGAAATTCAATACCAAAATTTAGGCTCTAAATAACGGCCAAATTCGATCGAATACGATTCTAGCGAAATCTCAATTTTAAAAACAATAACCGAGAGTTATCAATTCCCGGGCGAGATTTTACTATAAGCACACTGACGAATTACACGTTTTATAAATCCTAAAAATGGGCCGAAATTCGGAATGTCACACCCCTCCAAGTGACTACCTCACCTGTCGAAAATACCGTACCTTTTGACGCCTCCTACCAATGTTGAGCGTTTCCTTCCAATTGATATTCTGCCAGTGTAACCTTATCAGCATCATTACAGCGTAAAAGATTGTAAATTTTCTCTATTCCAACTATCCACGTATTTGCCTCACTTGGGTCTCCTTTACCAAGGAAGCGAGTCGGCTTCAACTTCAGAAACTGCTCAACTAGTCCTTGAATACGGCGGTCACCGCCACCTTCTGCTGCTGCCTATTGTTGAGCCTACCTTTTAAACAGAGCTTCGACATTCGCCAATGCTTGCAGAATTCCATCCACCCGTGGATCCATTGCTGGTGGTGCATTTGCTCCCCCTAAAGTTCCTGTTCCATTTGAATTTCCAGCTCCACCAGAAGTTCCTACCACTCCTGAAGTCCCTGCTTCGCCTGTTGGTTCTATTTCACTCACACATCGTGTTCTGTCAGAAGGTCTTGTTCCTGTTGCTCTTCTCATCCTAAACTACTCTGCACATTGATCATCAATCACTATAGATGACCAATGTTATTAACCAACTCATATGTAACAAATGTTACTAAACCTCATTAGTAACGCTACCATATTACGTAAGTAATGGATACGTCACTTCACAACAACAAGCACACACGTATGTAGTACTTTAAATCACATGCTTATCCTAATTGCCCCACTTGCATACCTTATCACTCCAGGGTAAATCTATCCTCTGATACCAATCAAAGCAGGGCTGTGACGTCCCAGGCTGTCACCACTAACGACAAAGGGTCTATTAACCCATATACACATGCGGAAGCTATTTATGTTTACGAAACAAGTATGCAAAGCATTTCCTTCTGAGAACATACACCAGCGCACGTTATAAAATACATTTATATACATGTACATACAGTTTAGAGTCTGGGTACAGGCGAGTTACTATACAAATATACAAACCAAAAGAAAGTCGCCCCTGGGAGGTTAGGTCCACTACTCCGCCTACACATCAACCCCCACATGCTCCCCTGCTCTAACACTTAGGTGACCCTATCCAAAAAGGTCCGTCATTCGGGTCGTGCAACCTCAACAAAAAGGTCTTTCTTCATCTCCTCCTCCTACTCGTCATACTACTCCTCCATATCAGGATCATTGTTCGACCTTGAGTCTGAGTTAGTATCCAGAAATGGAAGCGGTTCCAAAAGCTGTCCTTGGCAGTAGATATACAACGCAACGAAACGGTATGAATCTAACCTTGGTGCAAAGCCTACGTCAACCCACAGTGTGGACACAAACTTCGCAAAAACAATGTTCGGGAACTGAGGAAATGTCACGTCCTCCCAATGGTAAGTAAAATCAACAGGGGCTCCATAACAAGCAGCATAGGTAGCGGGAGGAGCGGAAGGCATACTTACTAATCTGAAAAGATAAATAACCACGGGAGTAAGCATAAAGCTTAGCAAATAGATATCTAAAACATCGACAACACGAATTATCAAATCACCACACAAGACGTAAACATCATTTATGAATGAAATGATGCCAAAGCAATGAATGGGTGCAATGCATGTTGTACGCCAGTTATTATTTCAGCTATCTCATCAAGTATCCACACTCGTACCACGGCTACATCGGCGCGCAGATCGACCCATGCGGGTAACTTCCAGCGCGCAGACCGGACTTCCGTGGTATACCAACCACGAGCATCTCAACTCTTGAGGCATCGTCGGTGCGTAGATCGATGGCATCCAAGCCTTCCACACTTGGGCATCCCAATACTCCCGCGGGGCATCATCGGCGTGCAGACCGATGGTCCTCACCATCCATTTTCACATGATGTGATGAGTGCACATGAGTCTAACAGAAGCATATTAATAACCATCCACATATGTGGCATATTAATCCAACCAAGACACAAACGATATAGTCCAGAGCATAGACAACATAATAGCATCGTGTGCAAAATCACCATCTCATATGAGCTATCTATCATCACACAAATCAGCTAATGCAAAATCACATCGTCGCCGTCCATGGGCTCAGTCACCAGTAGCACCGGCCTACAACACAGACGTTTCTCATGCCGCCATACCGCATCGCGAGCCATCCTAGCGCTACATCCCTATTCCGCGGCCACCTCGCGCCGTTAAGCGGCTCGGCTCAACCCAAGCCACGGCCGCCCTTTTTAACTTTGTACAACCATTCAATCTCACCACGTGTCATCCCGACATTCGAACAACACCAACAAACAACCAGAAAATCGCATCATCCTAATTTGCGCATAACCTTAGCACATGTCGATTGAGCCACCCAAGCTCGTTTTCAATGATCCGTCACCATCACGTGATATCCCAACACCCGTACGTCCTC